GGGGTTAAAAACCAATTTTTCAGAACGAGAATACTCCGTGGCTCTGCCATGGTGGTGGTGCCATTTCTGGGGCTGAAAACACTCATCCCACTGCCTTTTGAGGCTAAAAAATGATATTTCAGAACCAAAAACCTTGTGGCTCTGACACGATGGTGATGACATTTTGGGGGCTGAAAACGCTCATTCTGTTAAAAAGCAAATTTTCAGAACCAACAAAACCTGTGGCTCTGATGTGGTGGTGGCATTTTTGGGGCTGAAAATTCTCATCCCATTGCCCTTTTGGGGTTTCAAACCAAATTTTTCCAAACCATCAAACCCTGGGGTCTTGCATTTCCTCACCCGCCTTTCTCCCACCGCCACGCACGGATGTCACATCCCACCTCTCCCACGGCCACCTGCCATTCCCAGGGAATGACCCCAAATCCCAGGATGCTCTGGCTCCCCAGGGAAGGGCCAGCAGCCCCATGAACTTCCCCCATCCAGGGCCATGGGCCACCCCTGGCCATCCCTGCCCGGGCACGGCGGAGCAAACATCCATTCTTTTCTCTTGGAAGACACGCGGGCCGGAAACGCTTGGAAGCGGCCCCGAAAGGACATTCCAAGTCTGGCAGGAAAGCGGCCCCGCTTGTCTGGCAGGAGATGGGCTATTGTCTGTCCCGGTGGCCGGCCGGGATTCCTCAGGTCCTGCCTGGAAGAGGAAAATCTCCGTGTGTGTCTTTATTTTTTCCTCTGCCCTCTCCCAGGGGTGTCGCGGCTGCTGCTCGTGCTGGCGTTGCTCCTCTGGTGTTTCCTCCTCGGGTTTTTCCCTGTTTTGCCCGCTTTCCTGGGCTCTGGTGGCAGGATGAGGTTTTTATGGGATGTTTGGGCACCATGTTGGGGTCCTGAAGGGAAGAGGTGTGGATGGAGAGCTTTGGGAGGGAGGAGAGCAAGAACTCCAGGAGCTGGGAGAACCTGATGGGCAGGAGAGGGCAGGGTGATCCCGAAAATCTGGGCATGCAGCTCCCCCAGCCAACTCACCGAGGGTCTCCTTGCTGTCCTTGGGGTGGGATTGTCCCCACATTGAGGAGCAGGATGAGCCCTGAGGCAGCAGTGATGTGACACGGGGTGAGGGATCTTGGTGGCTCTTGGATCCCCAAGATCCTGCAGTGGCAGGATCTCAGCATCTCTTGCTTGTTGGGAGATCTCTTAGATCCCCAAACTCCTGCAGCTCTGGGATCTCGCTGCTCCTTGAATTCCCAGACTCCTGCAATGCCGGGATCTCAACATCTGGATCCCAAACTCCTTCAGTGCCAGGTTCTTGGTGTCTCTTGCATCCCAAATCCCTGCTGTGCTGGGATCTCAGCATCTCTTGGATCCCCAAATTCCATTTGTGCTGGAATCCCATTGACTCTTGGATCTCCAAACTCCTGCAGTGCCAGGATCTCAACATCTGGATCCCAAACTCCTGCAGTGCCAGGATCTCAACATCTGGATCCCAAACTCCTGCAGTGCTGGGATCTCAGCATCTCCTGGATTTTCCTGGATCCCAGGCTGTGGGATTTGGGCATCTCTTGGATCTCCGAGCTCCTGCAGCGCCGGGATTTTGGCATCTCTCGGATCCCCAAACCGGTGCTGGGCAGGGTGGGGGTTTTCTGGCACCTCATCCCCTTTTCCCAGCCCCTGGAGCTGTTCTGCTCCACAGAGCCAGGGCCGATAGGATCAGGCCTGGCTGGCGGGCAGGAAGGGTGGCACGGCCACCGGGAGAATTGCAGGACGTGCCGTTCACCGCCACAAACCGGGAAACACAAGCTGTCACCATCCCCAAAATCTTGGAGCTGCCAGGCTGGGATCGGGAGGAAAGGTGAAATATGGGAATTTCTGGGCTTGTGGGATGAGCCCCCAAAAAGCTGTGAGGGAAGGAAGCATCCCATGAGGATTTGGGATCTGTTTCCGTCCTCTGGGCTGGTGCTTTCCATCCCAACCCCATTCCCTCCCTTCCTCCCCACCCTGGATTTAATGGGGAACATTAAAACCCAAGAAGATCCTTTCAGTGCCGTGCCAGGGCGATTGTTCCGTGCCCATTGTGTGCCCCAGGCAGCCCCGGAGCCCACACCTGAGACCCGCCCGGAATGAGATAACAGCGCCTTTTCCCCTTTCCCCCTTTTTTTTTGTTTGCTCGGCGGGGTGGATAACAAACCCTCGAGGAGGCCTCTTTCAAACACGGCCCTATTAAAGCCTGGCCCCATTTTAAGAGTGAACTTCCAGTGGCACCGGGAGGTGAAGGACAATGGGAACGGGACCTGTGGGAGGGCTGGGATGGGATTTTGTGCCTGCCTCAAACCAAAGCCATCGCTCCGTGCCGCGGTGCTGCTGTTGCAGCATCCTAAACCTACAAAATTTGGATTTTTGCACAGAAAAAAACCACAAAAAAAGCTGGAAAAAATGGAGTGCCACGCACACCTGAGGTGCTGTGCATTCCTGCCTCAGTTTCCCCACTTATAACATCCCCACAAGGCCAATCCTTGCTGGAGCGGGCAGAGCTTCCCACCAGGGCCGGTCCTTCCCGGTGATGGATTTTGGGGGCCGGGTGGCCCCGGCCAAGGTGAGCCGGGGCAGGAAGGGGCGCCGCAGGATGCGGCAGCCCCCGGGCAATGCGGGGCCGGGAGGAAACCCGGCGGGTTTGTTCGGCGGAGGGCGAGGGAACCGAGATTAAAAAAAGGCCCGCTAAGATCAGAAAGGCTGGCGAGCACAGTGCCCTATTGTGGAGCTGTCACACTTCCCTTTACTTTATTGCTTTTGTCCAACACCCCATTGTTCCACTTCCTTTTGTCCCCTATTCACAGCCCTGGCTTTTCATTACCCAGCCGGCCTTGTTGTTTTCATTTCTTTTGTTTGAAGTTCCTGAGAGGAAGGTTTTATTTTCAGCCGTTTGATTAATTCGCAGCTTGAGCCGGGCTTTGTTTGTTATGTAATTGCTGCCCCCAAGCCGGGCGGCCCAGCTCAGCCCTCCCCACCCCGCTTTGCACCCCCAAACTGGCTTTAGGGGCTCCTGAGGGGGGTCTGGGAGGTGAGAGCGTGCTGGGTTTGGGGTGGTAGCCCCCAGACAGGTGCTGTCCCCATTGCAGGGCAGTTCCACAGCCCAGCTCCCGATTCTGGGATAAATCCCTTCCTTAGCTGCCTCCTTTTCTCATTATTCCCTCTGAAAGGCGAGGACAATGCTTGTCCCCGTTCTTGCTGTGTGTGGTGTGAGGCTTGGTGGCCACAGAAGCCAAGTCCTCGTGGGCGCCACTGATCCTGGCACTCGCTCCTGGCAGCCCTGGCACTCGGAGTGAGGGGTGGGACACATTTTTTGAGGACAAACCCCATGGGACTCCAGTGCTTGGGGTCCTCTACGCTCCCTATAAAACTCATTGTCATTCCTGCAGTGCCCATCTGGCAGCACTGGGGTGGGGATTGGCACCCAAAGGGGTTTGTGGGATCAGGGAGAGCCATTCCTGGGGCCAGACCCTCGTCCTGGCAGGGCCTTGGTGGTGCTGTGCCAGGGACTCCTGGAGGAACTGTTCTGGTGGCCAGTCCTGGTCCTAGATCCATTCCATGCTGGGGACTCCTGGAGGAACCGTTCTGGTGGCCAGTCCCACTTCCATTGCATTCCAGGGATTCCTGGAGGAGCCATTCTGGTGGCCAGTCCTAGGTCCACCCCATGGCAGGGACTGCCAGAGGAGCCATTCTGGTGGCCAGTCTCAGTCCCATTGCATTCCAGGGATTCCTGGAGGAACTGTTCTGGTGCCCAGTCCCAGTCCCATCCCATGGCAGGGGCTCCCAGAGGAGCCGTTCTGGTGGCCAGTCCCAGGTCCATCCCATGCCAGGGATTCCTGGAGGAGCCATTCTGGTGGCCAGTCCCATCCCATGGCAGGAAGTACCAGAGGAGCCATTCTGGTGGCCAGTCCCAGTCCCATCCCAATCCAGAGATTCCTGGAGGAGCCATTCTGGTGGCCAGTCCCATCCAATGGCAGGAAGTACCAGAGGAGCCGTTCTGGTGGCCAGTCCTGGTCCCAGCTCCCTCCCGTGCCGGGGGTTCCTGGAGGAGCCGTTCCGTTGCCGTCCCAGCCATTGTTGGGCAGAGCCAGGATTTCCCCTTCCCGCTGGATCGGGAAACCCGCGGCTGCTCCGGCGGCTTTCTAGGCACGGCTCCTGGAGCTGTGAGGGGACCTGGGGTGCTGGTCCCTGTCACCCTCAGCCTGGGCTTGCTGGATGTGGCATGAAGGTCCCTTAAACTGTCCCTCACTCCCAATCCCTGGGATCTCCGGGTTGCCTTTAGGAATTTATTCCTCCATCCCAAGGTGTGAAGGGTTGGTTTCCCCAAGGATTGAGCCCCAAGAACCTGGAGAACTGGGAACAGGAGCTCCCAGGGTGTGAAGAGTTGGTTTCTCTGAGGATTGAGCCCCAAAAACCTGAAAAACAAGGAAAAAGAGCTCTCAGGGTGTAAAGGGCTGGTTTCCCTGAGGATTGAGCCCCAAAAACCCAGAGAACCAGGAACAAGAGCTCCCACGGCGTGAAGGGTCTGGTTCCCTGAGGATTGAGCCCTGAAAACCTGGAAAAGCAGGAACAAGAGCTCTCAGGGTGTAAAGGGCTGGTTTCCCTGAGGATTGAGCCCCAAAAACCCAGAGAACCAGGAACACGAGCTCCCACGGCGTGAAGGGTCTGGTTCCCTGAGGATTGAGCCCTGAAAACCTGGAAAAGCAGGAACAAGAGCTCTCAGGGTGTAAAGGGCTGGTTTCTCTGAGGATTGAGCTCCAAAAACCCGGAGAACCAGGAACAAGAGGTCCCAGGGTGTGAAGGTTTGGTTCCCTGAGGACTGAGCCCCAAAAACCCGGAGAACCAGGAACAAGAGCTCAGCTTTGCCCACGGCAAACCCCAGGGACTCTGTCCTTGCCCTGCGGGGCACCCCAGTGTGGCACCAGGCTGGGACAGGTGTGCCCACACCCAGGGGTGGCCGTGGTGACGTCCCCGCTGTCCCCAGGATGTCCATGAGGAGCCCCACCTCGCCACCCCCGGAGCTGGATGGAGCGGGCACCATGGTGAACTGCGCCGTCAAGACCGAGGAGAAGAAGGAGGGCGGCCCCGAGACGCCCCCGGGGGCTGCCCCCAGCACCGAGCCCCGGCCCCACGACCCGCCAGGGCCACCTCCCAGGGATGGCACCGACCCCCAGGCCCTGCCACAGGTGGGTGTGACAAAGGTGGTGCTGCCCCCAGCCCTGCTCCAGACCCTCCATCCCATGGAGGAGGCAGTGGCTGCTCCCCTGCGTGGCTTTTCTTCATCCCGAGGAATTAACACGGAAATTTGAGGCTTTCCCAAGGCTTTTTTGGCTGCTCTTTTGAGCCCCAAAAACCTGGGGAACAGGGAACAAGAGCTCTCAGGGTGTAAGGGGTTGGTTTGCCTGAGGATTGAGCCCCAAAAACCTGGGGAACCAGGAACAAGAGCTCCAGAGTGTGAGGGGTTGGTTTGCCTGAGGATTGAGCCCCAAAAACCTGGAAAAGTGGGAACAGGAGCTCCCAGGGTGTGAAGGGTTGGTTTGCCTGAGGATTGAGACCCAAAAACCTGGGGAACAGGGAACAAGAGCTCCCAGGGTGTGAAGGGTTGGTTTGCCTGAGGATTGAGCCCCAAAAACCTGGAAAATCGGGAACGAGAGCTCAGCTTTGCCCATGGCAAACCTGGGGCTGCTCTGGGGTCATCCCTGGGCTTTGAGGGCTTCACCTTCGGCATGGAACCCCCAACGACCCCCTCCAGGTGTTCCCCATCCCTTCAGCCTCCCTTTCCCACTGTCCTGGGGTTCTCCCTCTCCCTGCTCTGCCCTCAGAGGGGAGAGGAGCTCAGGGGGAAATTCCAGCATTTCCATGCTGCTCTCTAGACGGGATTCAGGGAATGTGCCTGGCAGAGCGTGCTCCAGCTCCCAGCATCCCACCAGGCGGGGATGTCCCCTTCCGGGGGTGTCCCTGGGGGTGGCAGTGACGTCCTGTGCCCCTCAGGAATCCCGCTCTCCCACCGGAGATGTCCCCGAGCCCCGGCGCTCCACCTTCGAGCCGGCCGGGAGCGGCCAGGAGAAGCTGGACTTCAATAGGAACCTGAAGGAAGGTGGGAAATGTTCCCAAGGGACCTCTTGGGATCCCTTCCCCGCCCCTTGGGATTTCCCCAGAGCTGTGGGATGGACCGAGCCGTGCTGCAGAGCCTTGGGATGTGCTCATGTGGCTGTCCTCTCCTCCCTGTCCCTGTCCCTGTCCCCAGTGATGCCAACTATCGAGAAGCTGCTGGCCAGTGACTGGAAGGAGCGGCTGCTGGGTCGGAACACGGCTGAATCCAAGGAAGTGAAAGGTGGGATCCACCTCCACCAAGCTCCCTCCTGCATCCCAGCTGGGAGCACCAAAGCAGGAGGGGAAATGTCCACTTTTCGTATTTTTAATTTTTTTTTTTTTTTTTTTTTTTTTTTTTGGAGGTGAGCATCTCTGCTGCCTCTGCTTGGTGGGTGGGGTTCAGCATGTGTGGATCTTTCCATTCCTCCCCAGTCTGACATTTCCTGCTCACTCAGTGGTGGCTCTGGTGGCTTTAGGACTTCTCTGCCTCGCATTTCCCACCCCAAACTCTTCAATCTCTCCAGTGAACGGAAATGGGAATTACACTCCTTAAACAAAACCACCTCCAGCCCACCTCGTGCCTGACCCTCTCCCCCTCCCCACCCCCTGACCCTCATCCAGCCGGGTTTTTTCCCCCCAGGAACACAGGAGAGCCTGGCAGAGAAGGAGCTGCAGCTGCTGGTGATGATCAACCAGCTGTCCACGCTGCGGGACCAGCTGCTGACGGCGCACTCGGAGCAGAAGAACATGGCCACCATGCTCTTCGAGAAGCAGCAGCAGCAGATGGAGCTGGCACGGCAGCAGCAGGAGCAGGTGGGTGCTGTCACCCCTCTGGGGTCCCTTTGGGGTCAGCTTGTGGGGATCTTTCCGTTCCTCCCCAGTCTGACATTCCCTGCTCACCCAGTGGTGGCTCTGGTGGCTTTAGGACTTTTCTGCCTCGCATTTCACACCCCAAAGTCTTCAATCTCCCTGGTTAGAGGAGTAGGTCCCTTTGGGATCGCGGGACCACAAGTGGCTTTGGGGTCCCATTTTGTGTTCCCGTCCCAAAGCCCTCGGAGCTGGGAGGACCAAGGGTGGATGGAGATGGGGGTTGAGCTCCTCGAGATGAACAAACCACCCCAGGTGCCTCCTGCCTGTGCTCACCTGCTCCTTGAAGACCAGGTTTTCCTCTCCCAAGGGCAGGGGTGACACCGCTGTCACACCTGGGGTGTCACACACAGCCCTTGTGTCCCTCAAGGTGGCTCAGCCCCTCCTCCTGCCCTTCCCGCAGCCCTGGGGACCCCTTGCCACCCTTTTTCTGTGGAGCTGGCTGGGTTCTGCCAGGTTCTGTCCTTGATGTCACCAACGCCACTGTCCCCTCCCCAGATCGCCAAGCAGCAGCAGCAGCTCATCCAGCAGCAGCACAAGATCAACCTCCTCCAGCAGCAGATCCAGGTAAAGGCAGGGGACACCTCTGTCCCTGTGACTGCAGCCGTGTCCTGCTGTGCCCAGCCGGGGGTGGCACTGCCCCGCAGCGTTGATCTGGTGTCCCTGTCCCCTCCAGCAGGTCAACATGCCCTACGTGATGATCCCCGCCTTCACCCCCGGCCACCAGCCCCTCCCGGTCACCCCCGAGTCCCAGCTGGCACTGCCCATCCAGCCCATCCCCTGCAAACCGGGTGAGTCGGGGCTGTCCCAGCCCTGCGGGGTGGCCTTGTCCCCCAGCCGTGTCCCTGTTGTCCCCAAGCGCTGTCCCTCTGCTCCCGCAGTGGATTACCCGGTGCAGCTCCTGCACAGCCCTCCTCCTGCCACGCTGAAGAGACCCGCGGGCCCAGGACACCTCCAGATGCAGGTACGGCCCCAGAAAACCCAAAACCCCAAAGAAAACCAGGTACAGTTCCCCAAAAATCCTGGTACAGCCCCCAAAAACCTGGGTAGAGCTCCCAAAAACCCTGGTACAGCCCCAAAAACCCCAAAAACTCTGGTATAGCTCCCAAAATCCTGGTACACCCCAAAAAACCCTCGTACAGCCCCAAAACCCCCTCCAAACCCTGGTACAACCCCCAAAACCCCCTCCAAACCCTGGTATAGCCCCAAAACTCTGATACATCCCCAAAAATGCCCTTCAACCCCCTGGTACAGCTCCCCAAACCCTGGTACAGTCCCAAAACCCCCTTCAACCCCTCACACAGCCCCAAAAACCCCTTCAAACCCTGGTATAGCCCCCAAAACTCCTCCAAACCTTGGTACAGCCCCCAAACCCTAATACAGCCCCAAAACCCCTGGTACAACCCCAAAAACCCTGGTACAGCCCCCCCAAACCCTGGGCTGGGGCTCTGGGGGCAGCAGCTCCTCAGCCCCCATCCCTCCCTCCTCCTCCACCTCCTCCTCAGGAGACCTCGCAGCCGCTGAACCTGACGGCCAAACCCAAAGGCTCCGAGCTGCCCAGCGCCTCCAGTTCTCCCAGTTTGAAGATGAGCAGCTGCCAGACCTTGGCACCGAGCCACGGGGCCAGCAGGGAGCTGCAGAGCAGCCCCTCCAACCTCCCGCTGGGTGGGGACACAAGGGACAGCCCTGTCACCCTGGGCTGTGCCACCACTTGGGGCATGGGCAGGGTGGGGTCAGTGGTGTGGGGTGACCACTGGGATTGATGGGTGCCCGTAGGGGTTGAGTGGTCAGTGGGGTGGCCACTGGCACTGATGGGTGCCCATAGGGGGGGGTTGAGTGGTCAGCAGAGTGACCACTGACAGGTGCCCATAGGGGTGGGTTGGGTGGTTAGTGGGGTGACCACTGGCACTGACAGGTGCCCGTAGGGGTGGGTGCTGTGAGTGGTCAGTGGGGTGACCATTGGCACTGATGGGTGCCCCTAAGGGTGGGTGGTGTGAGTGGTCGGTGAGGTGACCACTGGCACTGATGGGTGCCCACGGGGTGCTGTGAGTGGTCAGCAGAGTGCCCACTGGCACTGACAGGTGCCCACGGGGTGGGTGCTGTGAGTGGTCAGCAGAGTGCCCACTGGCACTGACGGGTGCCCATGGGGTGGGTTGAGTGGTCAGTGGAGTGACCACTGGCACTGATGAGTGGTGGGTGTGTGAGTGGTCAGCAGAGTGCCCACTGGCACTGACAGGTGCCCACGGGGTGGGTGCTGTGAGTGGTCAGCAGAGTGCCCACTGGCACTGACGGGTGCCCATGGGGTGCTGTGAGTGGTCAGCAGAGTGCCCACTGGCACTGACGGGTGCCCGTGTCCTGCCAGGTTTCCTGGGAGAGGGCGATGCCATCACCAAAGCCATCCACGACGCGCGGCAGCTGCTGCACGGCCACGGCGCCGCCATGGAGGGGTCCCTGAGCAGCCCCTACCGCAAGGTGAGGGTCACTCTGTGTGGTCACCGTCCCCTCTGCCACCCCAGCATCACCAGCCACAGCTGTCCCCAGGCTGGGGGCTGGCTCCTGACCCCTCTGTCCGGCAGGAGCCCGTCGGGATTGACTCCTCCCCGGTGAAGGAGAGGATGGAGGAGACGCCCGGCCACCGGCTGGACGAGGCTCTGCTGAGCTGCGAGATGGACGGTGAGGGTGGCCAGGAGCACGGTGGTGACCCCAGGGTGACTCTGTCCTCTGGCTCCTGCCCTCATCCCGCGTCTCCCCACAGGCTCCCGGCACTTCCCGGAGTCCAGGAACAACAACCACATCAAGCGGCCCATGAACGCCTTCATGGTGTGGGCCAAGGACGAGCGCAGGAAGATCCTGCAGGCGTTCCCAGACATGCACAACTCCAGCATCAGCAAGATCCTGGGTGAGATCCTGGGGCAGGAGCTCCTCTGCAGCCACTGGAGGGATGGGAACGAGATCTGGGGATGGGGATCCACTCTGCATCTCCATGGAGGGATGGGAAAGAGATCCTGGGGCAGGGGATCCCCTCTGCATCCCCCCACAAGATCCTGGGGCAGGACCACTCTGCATCCCATGGAGGGATGGGAACAAGGTCTGGGGACGGGGGATCCCCTCTGAATCTCAATGGAGGGACCTCCCTGACCTGGGGAAGGTCAGGGAATGAGGGGATGAATCCTGGAGGGAAGATCAGGGAATGAGGGGATGAATACACTAGGGAAGGTCAGGGAATGAATCCCTGGAGGTTCCTGGAGAAGGTCAGGGAATGAGGAGATGACTCCCAGGAGAGAAGGTCTGGGAATGAGGAGATGAATCCCTGGAAATGCCCAGGGACATTCAGGGAAGCTGTTCCTGATATTCCAGCAGAACCAGCTGCGGCACGTGGCTCCCACCAGCACCGCTGTAAATCCAGGCACCATTCCCACGAGCAATGCCATTAATTAACACCATTAATTAACCAACCAACAGCACCAATCAACCTTGGGATGGGTTCACCCCGATCTCCTCGCTCAGGCAGGCTGTGAGGACGCTCTCCTCCTTTCCCCACGCAGGATCCCGCTGGAAATCCATGTCCAACCAGGAGAAGCAGCCCTACTACGAGGAGCAGGCACGGCTGAGCCGGCAGCACCTGGAGAAGTACCCGGACTACAAATACAAACCACGGCCCAAGCGCACCTGCATCGTGGAGGGCAAGCGGCTGCGCGTGGGAGAGTACAAGGCACTGATGAGGAACCGGCGCCAGGACGCCAGGCAGGGCTACTTGATAGGGTAATTGATAAGGGGATTGATAAGGGGAGTGGTAACAGGGGGTGGTAACAGGGGATTGGTAAAGGGGATTGGTAAGGGGGGATTGGTTAGGGGGGATTAGTAAGAGGAGATTGATAAGGGGCATTGATTAGGGGGATTGATAAGGGGGAATTGATGAGGAACTGGTGCCAGGACACCAGGCAGGACTACTTGATAGGGTAATTGATAAGGGGATTGATTAGGGGGATTGGTAAGGGGGATTGATAAGGAGGGATTGGCAAGGGACGCCCTGTGTGCCCCGCCCCATGGGCTTGGAGGGGTGGTGCTGGGGGGGGGCTCACCTGGTGAACTGGGTGTGTGCCCAGCTGTTGACATGGGTGGGGCCTCACCTGGTCACCATGTGTGGGGGCTCACCTGGTGCCCATGGGGTTTGTGCCCACCTGGTGCCCATGGGGTGGGGCCTCACCTCTCATGCCCACCTTGTGCCCATGGGGTTGGTGCCCACCTGCCCCGCACAGATTCCCCCCTTGGGGCAGCCAAGGGAAGCAGCCCCCTGAGCCCTGCCTGCCCCTCTGAGCGCCCGCCCCCCGTGTCCCCCAGGCCGCAGGGCAGCCAGGTGCCCCCCAGCTCTTCGGACGTGCTGTACCCACGGCCGGTGGGCGTGCAGCTGCCCCCGCCCCTCCTGGAGCATTACCTGCCCCGCGGCGTGGACCCCACCATGCCCGTCATCGTCAACACCCGCAGCCTCAAGGACGGCGACGCCGGGGACGACGGGCACTCGGTGCCCGAGGGGGACATGTACCGCTACAGCGAGGACGAGGACTCGGAGGGCGAGGACAAGAGTGACGGCGAGCTGGTGGTGCTGACGGACTGAGGGGCACAGGGGGACAGAGGAGGGGGTGGCAGGGCTGGCTGCCACCTCTGGGCGTGTCCTGCTGCGGTGGCACTCGGCCACAGGGGAGCTGCCCACCTGTAGAAGGGTCCCACGAGGGTGGGCACCTGGGATTTTGGGTGGCAAGGACTGGCTTGGCCTTGCTTTGGTGGCACGTGGAGCTGAGGCCAGCGAGCCTGGAGATTTGGTGATGCTGTGGCTGCTGCGCTGTCACCCCTGAGGGGACCTGAGGCTCTCGGGCTGGAGGGAACCTCCAGAGCATCTCCAGCCCTGCAGCACCTGCAGCGGGTCCTGGAGAACCTCACCTGCTGCACTGCTGGGCACGGGGTGGGGACATGAGGTGGGGACACAGACAGGGGACATGAGGTGGGGACACAGGACAGGGACATGAGGTGGGGACACAGGACAGGGACACACACTGGTCCCTCCTCTAACCTGGTGTGACCTCCCTGCCGCGCTTCCCGCTCGCTCTTTGGCGCCTGCCAGCCAATTCCCACCGAGCCAATTTTAGCTCCAGCCTGGCCCCGGCTCCAGCCAAGGGCTCCTCGGGGCCCTTTGTGCTGCCGGCAGCTCTGGCCCAGTTTGGGAATAAAGCAGGGGCTGTTCCTGCCCTGCCAGCCCCTCCTCGGGGGGGACGTGCCCGCCTGTCCCCGGGCACCTGGCCCTGCAGGCCGGGCTGCACCTGAGCCCCGCGGAGTGAGAGGGAGGGAGAAGGAACGGCCGTGAGGGAAAGGAATGATGAGAAAAAATGAGCTTGGTGTGGTCAGAACCTGTTCAGGGGCTGGGGTGTGGCTGGGCATGGCGGTGTCCAGGTGAGAGTTAGGGGTGTCCAGGAGTGTGTGCCATGTCCAGGTGTGTGGCAGTGCCCAGGTGTGTGTGCCATGTCCAGGTGTGTGCTGTGTCCAGGTGTGTGCCATGCCCAGGTGTGTGTGCCATGCCCAGGTGTGTGGCAGTGCCCAGGTGTGTGGCAGTGCCCAGGTGTGTGTGCCATGCCCAGGTGTGTGCTGTGTCCAGGTGTGTGCCATGCCCAGGTGTGTGTGCCATGCCCAGGTGTGTGGCAGTGCCCAGGTGTGTGTGCCATGCCCAGGTGTGTGTGCCGTGTCCCCCCCGTGCTCAGCCGCTCTCTCCCCGGCCGTGTCCCCGCTGTCCCTCTGTGCGCGGGGCTGCGGCACCTCCGTGTGGCAGAGCCGGGAACAGCCCCGAGCCTGGCACAGCGCGGGGACAGCGACAGCGCTGGGGACACCGTGGGGACACCGCCGGGACTGTCACTGTGCTGGGGACACCGCGGGAACAGGGACACCGTGGGGACACCGCCGGGACCGTCACTGTGCTGGGGACACTGCAGGAACAGGGACACCGTGGGGACACCGCGGGGACAGTGACAGCGCTGGGGACACCGTAGTGACTGTCACCATGCTGGGGACACTGCAGGGATTGTCACTGTGCTGGGGACACCGCGGGAACAGGGACACCGTGGGGACACTGCAGGGATTGTCACTGTGCTGGGGACACCGCGGGAACAGGGACACCATGGGGACACCGCGGGGACAGTGACAGCGCTGGGGACACCGTGGCCACCCGGGCTTGAGGCTGCACAAAGTGGGCACCGGCCTCTGTCCCCTCGTCCCTCTGTCCATTTGTCCCCAAGCCAGGTGGGGGATCCGAATCTCAGCAGCACCAGCATTCCAGTGCTGGGGACACTGCCGTGGGGACACTGTCATGGGGACACTGCCGTGGGGACATCCCTTATCCCAGGGGACATCCTGCCAGCCCCTGCCCTGCCCAGCCAGCCCCTCCCTGCTCCCCTGCCCTTTGTCAGTGCTTTATTTATTCCCAACTCCCTGGGGAGGGACAGGGGTCCCTGAGGTGGGACAGGGGTCCCTGGGGATGGAAAGGGGTCCCTGGGGAGGGGTCCCAGCTCCAGGGCTGGACCAGGCTGTGCTGCAGAGGGACTGGAAGCAGATGTGTCCCCTCCCCACAGCTGCAGCTCTTCCTGTGTCTCTCTTCCATTTCTTTTTCTTTTTATTTTGTTGTTGTTTCGTTTTGTTTTTTAAAGATTGTAAATATAGATAGAGCTTTATTTTGTTAATAAGACAACGAGTAACTTAACCTGTATATTTCACATCCCTGTTTACAATCGTTCCTCCCCCTGGCCCTTGGCACAATAAAAGTGACTTTTTGGAGCAGAGAGTGGGGCCTGGGTTGGATGGGGACATCTCAGGCTACAGAAGGGACAGGAGCACCCCCAGAGCCCGGGAGGGGCTGCCCCTGCTCCAGCCCCAGATCCACCAGCCCCAAATTCCAGCTACCAGCAGCTTTTATTTCCCACGGAAACAAACACGGATGTGCCAGCAGCCCTGGGGCCACCTGGGGGAGGTCCCTGTGCCCGGAGAAGGGACATTCACCTTGTCCCTACAGGGCACCTTGTCCCCACAGCCAGGGGAGCACAGGGCTCTGGGGGACATCCCTGTGGCCGGAGAAGGGACAGTCACCTTGTCCCCACAGCAGGGGAGGGACACAGGAGGTCCCTGTGCCTGGAGAAGGGACAGTCACCTTGTCCCCACAGGGCACCTTGTCCCCACAGCCAGGGGAGGGGCACAGGAGGTCCCTGTGCCTGGAGAAGGGACAATCACCTTGTCCCCACAGCCGAGGTGGGGCACAGGGCCCTGATTGCTGCAAGGAGCTGGATGGGGCTCAGCAGGGCAGGGGTGAAGCTGTGCCCAGTCCCGGAGCGAGGCAGCTCCGTGCCACCTCCTGCCAGGGGTGGGGACACAGCCAAGGGAGCAGGACAGGGATAGGGACAGGCAGGACAGACCCCCCTGCATGTCCCCAGACCCCCCTGACCCTGGGGGCAGAGCTGAGGGCAGGGGGGAAGCCACCAAGCCAAGGGGACAGTGGGGACAGGCAGGGGCAGCTGTGGGGACACCCTGCAGAGGGGACGGGCACCCAGTGCCCACCAGCAGCACCCCACTGGTGCCAGGGGCTCACGGCTGGCTCTGCCCCTCTGCCCGCAGCTGCCACCCCAAAGGGACAAGAGTCCCATGCCTGGGGTCAGCAGGGACCTGGGACAGCGCTGCTTTGGGGGTGGCACCCAGCAGGGCAGGAGGGGACAGTGGGGCAGTCAAAGTGACCAAAGTGGGGCAGCTCTGGGGGCCCTGAGCAGCCGGGGTGACCCCGTGTGCCCCTCGGGGCAGTGCAGGGAGGGGGCAGTGCCAGGCAGCAGCAGCAGCAGCAGCAGCAGCAGCAGCAGTGCCAGCGGGGCACGGACCTGCCGGGCACCGGGGCCGCGTGGGGCTTGGCATTAAGGCGGTGGTGAGGCTTCCTGGCATGGGCTGGGGCCTCGCCGGGGCCCTGGTCCTCTCCAGCATCTCATGGTCCAGTCTTGGGGGTGGCCAGGCTCTCCTGGGAGCGGTGGCGGCCGGGGCAGGGCTCCTCTTGTCCCCCTTGGCACCGCGGCCGGGCTGGGCGAGGGGCGAGGGGGGCGCGAGGGCACGGCCAGGACAGGAGAGCTCGGGGTGGCCCCTACTTGGGGACCTGCAGGGCTGTGACCACCGGCTTCATCTTGAAGTACTGTTTAAACCTTAACTTTGCATATCTGTAAAGAGAGGGAGAGAGGAGGGATGGCTCTGAGACACTCGTGTCCCCTGGGACTGCCAAGATACTCCCCAGGGACAGCTGAGATCTTCCCCGGATCCTTCCCAGGGACCATTGGGATCTTACCCAGGATCTTCCCCAGGGACTACCGGGATCCTCCCCAGGGACCACCAGGATCTTCCCTGGGATCATCCCCAGGTAGTACTGGGATCTTCCCCGGGATCCTCCCCGGGATCCTCCCCGGGATCCTCCCTAGGGACCACCAGGATCCTCCCCAGGATCCTTGGAATCTTCCCTGGGATCCTCCCTGGCATCTTCCCCAGGGACCACCAGGATTCTCCCTGGGGACTGCCAGGATCCTCCCTAAGATCCTCCCCAAGATCCTCCCCAGGGATTACCAGGATCTTCCCCAGGATCCTCTCCAGGGACTGCTGGGATCCTCCCCAAGCACCATTGGGATCTTCCCCAGGATCTTCCCTGGGATCCTCCCCAGGATTCTCTCCAGGGATTGCTAAGATCCTCCCCAGGACTGCCCCCGGGATTCTCCCAGGGATTTCCAGGATTCTCCCCAGGAATTGCCAAGATCCTCCCCGGGACCCTCCCCATGACCCTCTCCGGGCTCCTCCCTCTCCACCCATTTCCCTGGGAGCAGCCCGTGCGCACTCACCGTAAGAAATTAAAGTCTATGGTGGAATATTTATCCTGGATCAGGCCCCAGCAGGCCCAGAGGAAATGGGACGCCTGCAAGGGGCAGAGCAAGGATCAGGGAACGGCCACGGGGACAGAAACCCCCGTGCCCCAATCCCCAGGGCTGTGACAAGGACAGGACATGGACCCACGGCGGGGTTTTTGTGCCCTCCAGAGGCTGCTCCTGGCTGGAGCTGGAGCGAGGGATGGCAGCAGCAGGGAGGGTGCTGAACATGGGGTTCCACCCCTGCGCTGCCCTCCCGGCAGCTGCAGCCGGGAAAACAGAGAATGTTTCACCCGAAATTTCCAGAAAACCGGCTGGGGCCGCCCGCTGGCAGTCAGCACAGAGGATTTCCTCACTCCAGCCGTGCCTGACCCCTCTGAAGGGCTGCCCAAGGCCACCCTGTCGGGCACAGCTGTCCCCAACACACCCCTGTGACTTTGCCCAGGAGCTCGGTGTCCCTGAGACACTGCCAGGCCCCGTGGCACAGCCTGTCCCCGATGTCCCCAAGCCCTCAAGCTGGCACCAGCTGGAAGGCCAAGAGCAGAGGAGAAATCCCTCACTCCCTCGTCCCCTGGGTTGTGTTTTCAGCCCTGGAGCGAGGCCGACTCCTTCCTCCTCCCCACTCACCAAGGAGAACTTGTTCACTTGCACGTAGAGGGTCTCCAGCTCCTCCTGGGACACCTGGCTGTCACCTGGGTGGCCCTGGGTGAGCTCCTTGTAGGCCTGCAGGTAGGAGTGCAGCCACTGCAGCTGCGTCTCCTTGCTGGGGTAGAGGCCGTAATCCACCTCCTTCACACCTGGGGGGACACAGGGACCCCATTTCCCACCCCAAGTCTGGGATAAAACTCTTTCCTCCATCCCAATAACAGAGATACCCCATTTCCCAGTATGGGACTGGGGATACAACTCCCTCCTCCATCCCAGGAATGGGGAGACCCCAAGCCAGGCTCATTTTCCACCCCAGGACTGGGGATACATTTCCATCTTCCATCCCTGGGGTCAGCCCCATTTCCCAGTATGGGACTGGGAATAAAACTCCCTCCTTCACCCCCAATAATAGGAAAAACCTCCCTTCTCCATCCCAGGGATGAAGAGACCCCATTTCCCACCCTAAGACTGGGGATTCAACTCCCTCCTCCATCCCAGTAACAGGAACACCCAATTTCCCAGTATGGGACATGGAATTCCCAGTAACAGGAACACCCAATTTCCCAGTATGGGACATGGAATTCCCAGAAATAGGAACACCCAATTTCCCAGTATGGGACTGGGGATGACTCCCTCCTCCATCCCAGTAACAGGAACACCCAATTTCCCAGTATGGGACATGGAATTCCCAGTAACAGGAACACCCCATTTCCCAGTATGGGACTGGGGATGACTCCCTCCTCCATCCCAGTAACGGGGACACCCCAGGCCGGGGATGGGAGGACTTTGGGGGCCCCTGGGTGCTCCCCACCTGCGAACTCGTTGAAGTGGTTGCCAATGTCGAAGGCCTGGTAGTTGTAGCCCGTGTACTCGTAGTCGATGAAGCGCACGCGCTCTGCGGGGACAAAAACTGTCAGCGGTGGGGACAGGGGTGGTGGCAGCACCTCAGGGATACAATGGTTCCAAAATCGTGGGATATTCAGGGCAGTTGGAAAGAAAGGTTGGGCCTAGGAGGCCCTGGGAAAATGTTAGGTTTTACTGGATCATGTGAAACTGCAGCTGTATAATAATTTAATGACTATGATAAATGAAATTACTATATGATATGATAAATTATATATGATAAATATGATGACACCTATATTATCATATTTACAAATATTATATTAGAAATATAGAAATATTCCATTATATTTCCATTATATTATCATATTTATAAACTTATTCTATTTATATTCATTTTAAGATTTAGAAATATTATCACGTAAGATTTAAATAAATATAAAGATATGATATTTTCATTATATTATCATATTTACAAATTTCTTATATTTATACTGATTACAATATTTATAAATATTATAAAATAATATTTAAATCAATATAAACATAAATATATTATATTTTCATTGTACTATCATATTTATAAATTTATTATGTTTATATTTATTATAAAATTTAGAAATATTATAACATAAGATTTAAATAAATATGAATATATTATATTTTCATTATATTATCATATTTACAAATTTATTATATTTATATTCATTATAATATTTATAAATATGATAATGTTTATCAGAGTTATCATTAAATATGATAAATTATATGGTTGTTAAATGCAATGATTGATTGGTAATTGGATATAATTATTGCTAATTGCAATGATTGATTGGTAATTAGATATAATTATTGCTTAACTGCAACAAAAATTATGAGAAACGATGTTTGGGGGGGTTGATGGAAATTACAAGAACCCAGGCTTGGATTAGATCAATGTATCCAACAGAACAATATAAGTTTAACAATTAATATGTATTTATACAAGGATAAAAGTACAAAAATGTGTTCATCCCGAGCCCATGTCGGAGCCAGATTTGGGTCTGTACCCCTGACATCCAGAGCTCCTCAATAACAGCACCTGGACAGGATCATTCTGTGACTGCTGCCACCCCCTGAGGGACAGACCTCGTGTCCTGTCGTAGATGATGTTCTTGCACAGGAGGTCGTTGTGGCACAGCACCACGGGGGAGCCCAGCTGCGACAGCGTCTCCTGCATCCAGGCCAGCTCCTGCTCCAGCGCCTCGGGGCTGGGCACGTCCCGCGGGAGGCTGCCCGAGGGGACAAAAGGGACAGGGTGGCATCGCTGCTGCACTTGGAAGGGGACAAAAGGGACAGGGTGGCATCGCTGCTGCACTTGGAAGGGGGGACAAAAGGGACAGGGTGGCATCGCTGCTGCTCTCAGAGGGGACAAAAGGGACAGGGTGGCATCGCTGATGCTCTCGGAGGGGACAAAAGGGACAGGGTGGCATCGCTGCTGCTCTCAGAGGGGACAAAAGGGACAGGGTGGCATCGCTGATGCTCTCGGGGTGACAAAAGGGACAGGGTGGCATCGCTGCTGCTCTCAGAGGGGACAAAAGGGACAGGGTGGCATCGCTGCTGCTCTCAGAGGGACAAAAGGGACAGGGTGGCATCGCTGCTGCACTTGGAAGGGGACAAAAGGGACAGGGTGGCATCGCTGCTGCACTTGGAAGGGGACAAAAGGGACAGGGTGGCATCGCTGCTGCTCTCGGAGGGGACAAAAGGGACGGGGTGGCATCGCTGCTGCTCTCAGAGGGACAAAAGAGACAGGGTGGCATCGCTGCTGCTCTCAGAGGGGACAAAAGGGACGGGGTGGCATCGCTGCTGCTCTTAGGGTGGACAAAAGGGACAGGGTGGCATCGCTGATGCTCTCAGAGGGGACAAAAGGGACGGGGTGGCATCGCTGATGCTCTCAGAGGGGACAAAAGGGACAGGGTGGCATCGCTGCTGCTGTTGGAAGGGACAAAAGGGACAGGGTGGCACCGCTGCTGCTCTCAGAGGGGACAAAAGGGACAGGGTGGCATCGCTGCAGCTCTTAGAGGGGGGAAAAGGGACGGGGTGGCATCGCTGCTGCTCTCAGAGGGACAAAAGGGACAGGGTGGCATCGCTGCTGCTCTCAGAGGGACAAAAGGGACAGGGTGGCATCGCTGCTGCTCTCGGGTGGATAAAAGGGACAGGGTGGCATCGCTGATGCTCTCGAGGGGACAAAAGGGACAGGGTGGCATCGCTGCTGCACTTGGAAGGGGACAAAAGGGACAGGGTGGCATCGCTGCTGCTATAGGGGCAGAATTGCTCTTCCCTGGCTTCCAGCGCTTCTCTGGGGCTACAGGAGCAGAATTTCCCCAGTTTCCAGCGCTTTCCTTGGGGCTCAGGGGCTGAATTGCTCTTCCCTGGCTTTCAGCGCTTCCCTGGGGGCTCAGGGGCAGAATTTCCCCGACTTTCCCTCCCTTGCCTTACAAAGGACCCCACTAATGACACAAAGGCTGTTTTTGGGGAGGGGACCAGGTTTGGTACCCAGGCCCCCACCCCACCTCAGCCTCAGCGCATCCCTTGTCCCCAAAAACCCCCACGCCCGCCCTCCAAATCCACCCAGCGCTCGCTCCCCGAGCATCCGGCAAAGCCCCCGGGGATGTTTTGGACTCTGGCAGCCCGGCGGTAACCTCAGGAGAGCTTCCAAGAAGAGAGCTCGTTAATGATTGCCTAATTGGCCGCGAGGAAGGCGCAGGGTGGGTAAAGTCTGGCCCTGGCCCGGCGGGTGCTGAGAAGAGCCCGGCTGGCTCCTGCCGCGGGTTAATGATTGCCCTGCCCGGGGTTCGTTCACCTCCTGCGCCCCTTGGGGCTGTCCCAGCCCTTCCCAGACACCCCAGCTCCCACCTGCCGGGCCCAACCAGCCGCCCCAAAAAAGCGGGATGGGCTGGCTGGGAGTGAGAATTGCGTGGTTTGATTTCTGGGGTTAATTGTCAGCTCAGCAGGGCTTGAGCTCGGGGCTTATTCTAGGCTTAAATTCCCAGGAGGAGGATTGTTCCAGCAGTGGGAGGCTGTGGCTCCAGCTGGATCCTGCACAGACACATCCCACAGCTCCAAAAAAGCTGAAATCCCCCCCAAAACTGGCAGCAGGAAGGGCTTGGAGCTGCTCCAGGGGCTCTGAGAGGGATCCGGCCCCAAATCCAGCCCCGAATCCCTGCAGAGGCTTTACCTGGGAACCTGGGCCCCAGAGGGTGGGCAGGGGGTGCCCGAGGCAGAGCCTGGCTCTGTGGGATCCCTCTGCCTTTACCTGGCGTTGGATACCTTTGGGCTGAGCTCTGTCTTCACCAGGCTGAGGTATTTGTGCAGCTTCTGCCACAGGATGGGCCTGGGGAGGCTCCCGTTGGCGTGGATGGCGTGGACTCGGGCCATCTCCCGGGCCACCAGCCTGGCATGGAGCACAGCAGAGGGGTCAGGGGTGGTCCCAGATCCTCAAAATCCCCCCTGCAAAATCCCCCGAAGAGCTTTGGGGGTGTCTTCAGGGGGATTCCCTGAAAATCCTGCTTAAAACACGGGGTTAGCACAGCTGAGCCCTCATTCCGTGCCAGGGATCGGCCTCTGAAGCGTTTCAGAATTGCCATTTTCAGGGTAAATTCAGCCCTAAACTCTGCTTCCTGAGGTATTCCAGCTTCCCAGGAAACCTTAATTCCCACCTCCCAGGAAACCTTAATTCCAGTTTTCCAGAGAACCTTATTTCCAGCTTCCCAGAAAACCTCTCTTCACCAAAACCTGATAAAAACCAGAAATTTGGTAATTTTGACAACTCTGGCTGCAGTTTGGGTTAGCACAGCTGAGCCCTCATTCCATGCCAGGGATCGGCCTCTGAAGCATTTCAGAATTGCCATTTTCAGGGTAAATTCAGCCCTAAACTCTGCTTCCCAAGGAATTCCAGCTTCCCAGTAAACCTTAATTCCAGCTTCCCAGAAAACCTTAATTCCAACTTCCCAGTAAACTTTAATTCCAACCTCCCAGAGAACCTTAATTCCAACTTCCCAGGAAACTTTAATTCCAGCTTCCCAGAAAACCTTAATTCCAACTTCCCAGGAAACCTCTCTTCACCAAAACCTGATAAAAACCAGAAATTTGGTAATTTTGACAACTCTGGCTGCAGTTTGACCCATTCACCCCTCAACCCCCATTTACCCCAGGACTGGGCACACCAGTGACCCCCACCCATGACAGTCAGGGAAGAGCTGAAAACTCAGAACAAACCCCCAGAAAACTGGGGAAAAAAACTGGTAAGGGGGATCCCCTCAGGACGCCCCACGCACCTGAAAATGTGGGGATCCCTCACGTGGTCGGGTCCCAGCGCGATTCCTGGCAGGAATTGGTAGCAGAGCCCGTTCTGGAAGGCGCAGTAGAGGTCGGGGGCGCATCCATGGGCTCGGAGCACCTGGAAATTCCTCAGCTCCGTCTCCCTGTCCACCAGCAGCTCGGTTTTCCTGCCGTACACCCGCACCAGCAGCGCGTCCGCCATGCCCTCGTCCGTGTAGCAGGCCACCAGCTTGTTGGTGATGCCATCAGTGAAGAGCTGGGAGGGGACAGACACCGCGGGGGTGACACCTGGGTGGGGCTGGGAATAAGGGAACCCCCATGTCTGCTTCCCAGCCCGGCGGGAAAACCTCGTGGAAATGGCAAAAAATGAGGAAAAGGAGCGAGGAGACACAGCCAGGAAAGCTCCTGGGGGGAGCGAGATGAGTTTGGGAGGACCGAGGTTCAGGGGTCTGCTGGCAGAAGGGGTGGTTTGGGTGAAAATCCTCTCATTTTTCACCTGGAACAGCTCAGGAAGACCTCTGCATGCAGAAGGGGTGGTTTGGGTGGAAATCTGGCTAATTTCACCTGGAACAGCTCAGGAATATCTCAGAGACACCTCTGCAGGCAGAAGGGGTGGTTTGGGTGGAAATCTTACTAATTTCACCTGGAACAGCTCAGGAACAGCTCTGCATGCAGAAGGGGTTGTTTGTGTGGAAATCCTCTTATTTTTCACCTGGAACAGTTCAGGGATATCTCAGGAACACCTCTGCGGGCAGAGGTGGTGGTTTGGGTGGAAATCCTCTTATTTTTCACCTGGAACAGTTCAGGGATATCTCAGAGACACCTCTGCAGGCAGAGGTGGTGGTTTGGGTAAAAATCCTGCTAATTTCACCAGGAACAGCTCAGGAACAGCTCGGGAACACTTCTACAGGCAGAGGTAGTGGTTTGGGTGAAAATCCTGCTGATTTCACCTAGAACAGCTCAGGGATATCTCAGGAACAGGCAGAAGGGGTGGTTTAGGTGGAAATCCTGCTAATTTCACCTAGAACAGCTCAGGAACAGCTCAGGAACAGCTCAGGAACAGCTCTGCAGGCAGAGGGGGTGGTTTGGGTGGAAATCCTGCTGATTTCACCTGGAACAGCTCAGGGATATCTCAGGAGCAGCTCAGACCAGATGTGCCACCAGCACACTTGGCACGGGAGCAGCCCCGGGAATGTCTCCCCAGGGGCAGGGGGTGTGGGGGGCAAATCAGCGTCAATTGGCACGAAATTCGAAAAACCAATAAATAAATAAACCACGCAACGAGGCTGAAAACAAGGCCGGAGCAAACACCACCCCCCGTGCCCTCCTCCGAGCCTCCCCGCGGGCCGGGGCGCTGATAGGCGGGGATGTCGCTGCTGGGGACATCTCGTGTCACCGCTCTGATGGCTCCCCGCAGATGGAAAGGGAGTTTTGTTCTCCCCGAGCTCCGCCTTGGCCGCCTGCCCGCGCACATGCCGGGGCTGCTGCTGCCGCCCGCGCCGGGGTCCGCGCCCCGTCCCGCCGGGATTTGGGCACCTCCGGGGCACCCGAGGGGGTTTGGGGACCTGTCACCGCACAGGAAACGCCTGTCCCATTGTCCCCGTGCCAGTTTTGGGGTGCTGTGGCTCCCCCTGAGCAGGATTCCTTCATCCCGCCGGGATTTCGGGCATCTCTGCGGCACCCGAGGGGATTTAGGGATGTGTCACCCACCCCACAGGAAATTGTCCCCGTGCCAGCTCCAAGCTGGGCACGCCGGGGTGCTGCAGCTCCCCCTGGGAATGATTCCCTCATCCCGCTGGGATTTTGGGCACTTCCAGGGCACTGAGGGGGTTTGGGGACGTGTCACCCACAGGAAATTGTCCCCGTGCCAGCTGCAAGCTGGGCACACCGGGGTGCTGCAGGTCCCCATGGGAATGATTCCCTCATCCCACTGGGATTTTGGGCACTTCCAGGGCACTGAGGGGGTTTAGGGCTCTGTCACCCCACAGGAATTCCCTGTCCCATTGCCCCCCACACCGTGGGATGTTCATCTCCAAGCTGGGCAATCCGTGCCTGCCCTGGGAATGATTCCCTCATCCCACCAGGATTTGGCCACTCCCAGGGTACTGAGGGGGTTTGGGGCTCTGTCACCCCACAAGAAACCCCTGTCCCACTGCCCCCCATAGTGCCAGCTCCAAACTGGGCACTCTGGGGTGCCGTGGCTCCCCACGGGAATGATTCCCTCACTCCTGTGGGACCGAGGAGCTGGAGCAGGAGGGGGGAGAGGGCTCCTGCTCCGGCAGCCGTGCAGCTCAGGGATGGGACGGATAATTTTAGACATCCCACTCAGCAACCCACGCTCCCCTATAGGGTTCCTATATATAGGGCTCCCCAAGCAGCCTCCCAGGGGAGACTCCAGGCACTGGAATGAGACCCTCCAAGCCAGACAGGGCTGACTCCCCCATTCCACAGCTGGATTTGGGGGGAGCAGGGCGAGGCTGCTGCCCCATCCTCGGGGGTGCTGCCCCCTCAGCTGCAGCAGAGCCTTCTCAAGCTGCTTTTCCCCGAGCTGATAATCTGGGTTCACCCTGGTGCTCAGCTCTTTCCTCCTCTTGTCCTGCCAGGCCCCAGAGGTTGGAAATTCAGGCAGCAGAGGTGTCACATCCTGTCCGTGCAGGTGTCACCATGGGCCACACATGGGTCAGCTGCAGGTGAGCAGCTCCACATGGAGTGAAATCCTTGGTGCTGTTTGTTTTGCTGCCCCACAGCCCAGGCAGCCCTTTCCAGCAGGTTTAATGGGATTATTGAGCCTTATCCCCCCCTGAATTCCAGGCCACCGACTCTGGAGACGCACACGTGGCTCCTGGGTGACCTGCAGGGACTCGCTGCCTCTGGGGGTGGCTCCCAAGGGTGGCAGTGGCTGCCTGGGGATGCCCAGTGCTGTTCCCTGTGGGCCCAGGCTGCAGCCACCCCAAATCCTTCCCTCCTGCAGCCGGGTGGCAGCAGGGACAGAGGGGAGGAGTGACACTCGGTGAACTTTGCAGGGATTAAACGCAAAGCGAGTCCTGTGCCAAAGCGCTGGGGTGAGGCGGCAAAATCCAACTGCTGGTGCTTCACTGCCGGGAGAATCCCACAGCATTCCCAAAACAGCACCGAGCTGCTGCCTCAGCACCCCCAGCCTGGGCTGGCCACCAGCAGGGCAACCTTGTCACCAAATCTGGGCTGGATTTGGAAAAACATCCAAACCTGCACGGCAACCTCACACGGCTGTGGCTCCGTGGCGCTGCCGCTGTTATCTGTGGTTGAGAGATGGATGGATGGATGGATGGATGGATGGATGGATGGATGGATGGATGGATGGAATCCATGGATGGATGGATGGAATCCATGGATGGATGGATGGATGGAATCCATGGATGGATGGATGGATGAAGGGAGGGATGGATGAAATCCATGGATGAATGGATGGATGGATGGAATCTATGGATGGATGGATGGATGGATGGATGGATGGATGGATGGATGGAATCCATGGATGGATAGATGGATGGATGGAGGGAGGGATGGATGAAATTCATGGATGGAGGGATGGATGGAATCCATGTCCATGGATGGATGAATGGAATCCATGGATGGATGGATGGATGAAATCCATGGATGGAATCCATGGATGGAGGGATGGAACCCATAGATGGATGAATGGAATACATGGATGTATGGATGGATGGATGGATGAGGGATGGATGGATGGGTGGATGGATGGATGGAGGAGTTTGTGCTTCCCTGGGAGGGGCTGGCTCAGCTGCACGGACATTCCTCGGGGATGAGGAGCAGGAGCTCTGGGAATTGGGCACAACCGGGAGCGCAGGGCAGGGCAGCCCAAGCTCCCAGATCCTTCTTGCCACGTTCCTGAGCTCCGGGAGATTTTCCCAAGCCACTGGCACAGCCTGGTACAGCCCCCGCGAGGTGCTGGGAACGGGGCAGAGCTCCAGGGCACCGGGCAAGGAATGGGATCGCTAATGGGAACCAGCTGAGGCCCCTGGCCCGCTCCATCCCATCCCGAGCGGCTCCTGCGAGGGGAAACGCGGGAGGAGGGAAAGCAACCGAGGGAAACGCAACGGGAGGGTTTTCCCTCAACTCCTGAGTGTTTTTCTTTCTTTTTCTTTCTTTTTTTTTTTTTAATTAAAAACACACGCCCGCACACCCGAGCTGCTGTGGAACACTGACCCCTGCGGATCCTGGATACGGCAGCGCCGGGGTCCCTCCACAACCACCGAGCTCTGCGAGCAGAGCGAGACATTTCCTGCCCCGGCAAACTCCAACTCCCAGCTTCCTGCCCGCTGCCATCTGCCCTTTCAGATGGCTTTTCCTGCAGCTTCTTGTATTTAATTACACTTGGCTATTAATACATTTTTAATGACGGGAAGCGTGTGCCTTCGGAGGGGACACTCGCTCACGTGCAGACGTTTAAGGGCACGCAGTCCCAGCCCCTCCACGCTCCGGTGCCCAGCGCCAGGGCACAGCCGAGGGCACCGGCGCCACCAGCCTGTGTCAGCCCAGCCCCGGCCGCAGCGATTCCCACGCCAGCCCAGCTCTCCCAGCAAAGCCCTGGCAGCCCCGCACAGCCGAGCCCTGTCCCGTGCCAGGAGCCCGGGACTGGTGTCCAGCTCCCACCTGAACCGGGGCTCAGCCCACGCAGTCAGGGAAATGTGGGAGCCAACAAATATCCCAAACAGGAGCGGCTCCCGGCAGCGGCCGCTCCTGCGGGCACTCCTCGGCAGCCGGCCTGGGGACACTTTTGTACCCACAGCCACCGCTCGGTGACCACTCCAGGGGTCCCTAAACCTCGTGGGGGGGGTGCCATGGGGGTGTCATGCCTTTGCACAGCTGATGAAGCCCCGGTCGTGCTCTGGGCACAAAGGGGAGACCCAGGGGTGGGGGTACGGGGTGTCACATCCTGTGGGGCAAGTCCTACAGCCCCCCATGGTGAACCCTACAGCCCCCACGGAATGAGCCCCACGGCGCCCCTTGGGTGAGCCCCACATTCCCCCTCGAACAGACCCGGGAGCCCCCCGGGTTAAACGCCACAGCCCCCCTGTAGCGCCCAGGCTGAGCCCCACAACCCTGCTAGGACAGACCCCATAGCGCCCAGGCTGAGCCCCACAATCCCCCTAGGACAGACCCCATAGCGCCCAGGCTGAGCCCCACAACGCCCCCAGGACAGACCCCATAGCGCCCAGGCTGAGTCCCAGAACCCCCCCAGGACAGACCCCATAGCGCCCAGGCTGAGCCCCACAATCTCCCTAGGACAGACCCCATAGCGCCCAGGCTGAGCCCCTCAGCCCCCCTTGAGCTGCCCCCACTCCCCGCCGGGGCGAGCACCGCAGCCGCCTCAGACAGACCCTATAACCCCACACCCGCCCCCCGGCCGGGCTCCGCAGCCCCAGCGGGCGATCCCCGGTGCGAGCGGCCGCCGGTTCGCGGGGTGCCGGTTCAGGCTCTCCCCCGTACCTTGGTCTTCACCGTGGCCGGGTCCCAGGCGGGTCTCAGCCGCCGCACGATCCGCAGCGCCCCGGGCAGCACGTCCCCCTCGTTCACCGCAATGCCGAGGTGTGGCACGGCGGAGGTCGCGCCGCCGCCCCCCCGCTCCGGCCCCGGGCAGTCGGGGCAGCGGGCGGGCGGTGCGGCCATGGCCAGCTCCGCGCTGCCGGAGCCGCGGCCCATGTGCCGGGGGCTGCGCGGGGCCGGCGGCCGCGGGGAGGAGCCGCCGCCGTTGGGAAGCCATGAGTCACCGGCCCGCCTCCCGCCCGCCTCCCCGGCAGCGGCGGCAGCGCCCGCACCGGCACCGGCACCGGGGGGCAGGGACCCGCATCCTACCGGCACCGGGGGGCAGGGACCCGCATCCTACCGGCACCGGGGGTAGGGATCTGCATCCTACCGGCACCGGCATCCCGGACAGGGGATCCGCATCCTACCGGCACCGGGGGTAGGGATCTGCATCCTACCGGCACCGGCACTGCGGGCAGGGATCCGCATCCTACCGGCACCGGGGGCAGGGATCTGCATCCTACCGGCACCGGGGGCAGGGATCCGCATCCTACCGCCATCCCGGACGGGGCACCCGCATCCTACCGGGACCGGGGGCAGGGATCTGCATCCTACCGGGACCGGCACTGCGAGCAGCCGCTCCACATCCTACCGGCACCGGTACCGCGGGAGGGGTCTCGCATCCTATCGGCACCGCCATCCCGGACCGGGCACCCGCATCCTACCGGCACCGGCATCCCGGGCAGGGCGGGACCCGCACCTCCCGCACGCCGAGACCCGGGCGCCGCACCCGCACCCGATCCGCACCGGCATCAGCGGACCGGCATCCCACCCGCACCGGGACCCCAGCGCCCCACCGGGACCGCATCCCGGGCAGGGGATCCGCACCGGGATGGGGCATCCCATCCACGGCGTGCTGGGCAGCGGGGCCCCGCCCGGCCGGTACCGGAGCCAGGACCAGGACCCCGCTCTGCCGCAGCTGCTGCCGGTGCCTCCCCCACCCATTCCCGGAGCCTCTCAGCCACCCCCGGCAGCCGCCCCGCACCGAGATCCCCCCTCCGCACCTGCTGTCGGTGCCTTCCCCATCCATTCCCGGAACCCCAAAGCCGCCCCAGAGGATCCGAGAGCGGGACCGGGACCGCCCCCGCCACACCCCGCTCCCCAATGCCCACCCATCCATCAGCTGAACCCCTCCGCCATCCCGGGGGGCTCCGCGCTGGCCCCAGTCCCTCCTTTGGGGTGACAAAGGCTGAGGAGCCACGCACGGGATGCGCTCCAGCCCCCGGGGCTCCGCTCGGGATCACCTCTCCCACTGCACCCTCCGCGCACTGACTTCCGTAGGGATTCACAGCTGGAATGGGAAGAGGTTTTAGGGGTGAGGACAGAGCGGGATTTTCCCGCTGGCAGAGCCCCTGCAGCTGCCGGACGCGGCTTCATTATCAGAGGAAATAACAGCGTCGCACCGCGGAGTGCCCCCCTCCAAAGCCCCCAGCTGGCCGCGCCTAAAACCAGCCCAACGGACCGTGGAGACCTGGGGAAAAATCATTTAAAGAGAGGGAACTGGGGGACAAAAACCCCGCCGGGCAGTTTCCCGTGTCGCTATAAATAGCGCCAGCCCTGTCCGTGTTAATAGGATGCGCATAATTGCTGCCGCGCTTTGCTGGGCTGAGCGCGGCCTAATTGCTCGGCCGGAACGATCTAATCCGGGCTAGCGGAGCCCCGCAGGCAGGGCCGCCGCATCCAGCGGGAAATTGCCCCCGGAGCAGCGATTAGAGGTGTTAATAACCCGGCTTAAGGGGCCCGGCAGCGGCTCGGGCGGGTTTTAACTCTCGCTGCTTGAAACGAGTGCGCGGAGTTGGAACAGAACCGGCTCCGCCAAAACCATCCCGGTTTAGGCCGGGCTGGGCCTTTTCCAGCTGGGGGATGTGGCAGAAGCCGCGGTGGGGGCTGAAGGCACCTTTTGCACCCACTCGAGTCTTCTCCAGACTTGGCCTCGGCTGTGGAGAGCAGGGCAGAGGAGGCTGGGACATTTCCAGGTGCGATTTCCCTCCCGTAGGAAGGGGAGACTCTCGCCAAGCATCTCTGCGCATCCAGAAGGCTGTGAGTGCCCTGACCTCAGCAGGTTCCCTCTTTTCTGATGGTTCCATCCCTCCCTGCCGCTGCTTCCCGGCTCCTGGGTGGCTCAGGAAACGCTGGATGAGAGCAGAAATTCATCCCTTCCCTCCACACCCCGGCGTTGGAGGTGACAGAAAAAAAACCCCACATCCCATCCACAGGAGCCGGAATTTTCCCATCCCCAGAGCCCCGGAGCCGGAATTTTCCCATCCCCGGAGCCCCCGGGTTGTGCATCCCAGCACGGAGAAGCTGCAGAGAAGCTCCCAGGAGGGACAAACATCCGCCCCAGGCACATCCTCTCCACTCTGGGGCTGCCCTGGGGATGAGGATCCGGGCTGGGAGGGGTGGATAAAGGGCTGGGAGCTTAGGGGGAGGTGCTGGAAGGGTCACACAGCAGCCGCTGGCTCCCCTTCCCAAATATCCCTGCAGCTGAGAGGGAATTTGGCAGCGCTGGGAATTTGGCAGCGCTGGGATTTTCAGCCCTGGTGTTCCTCGGGGCTGGAATTGTCAGCTCTGGAAATTCCTCAGTTCTGGAATTGTCAGCTCTGGAAATTCCTCAGTTCTAGAATTGTCAGCTCTGGGGTTCCTGAGAACTGAAATTGTCACCTCTGGGGTTCACCAGTGCTGGGAATCCCTCAGCTCTGCAGCTCTGAGGGTGAGGAGCTCCTGCCACCTCCATGGTGAGCTCCTGATTCGCTCCAGGCCCTGCCCCAGGAGCAGCTTTCCCACTCCCAGCCACCTGAACTGGTCAAACTGGAGGCCAGCCCGTGTTCCCCTGGCATGGGGATCCATGGAACTGGGAACATGGCCCTGTCCCTCCCTCCAGGCCAGCTGGCACAGGGGGCACCTCCAGGGGCACCTCCACACCCAGGGCAGAGGAAAACCTCTGCTTTTTTAATGAAAACAGACCCTGGGACAGGAGCCACCGTCCTGTGTGACACAGACCCGCAGGCGCTGTCCCCTCCCTGAAGTGCCACGGCAGAGCTGAGGCACAGCCCTGTCCCTGTCCCCAAGGGGACACCAGGGGCTCCTGGCACCATCCCAGCTGCAGGAGGAGCTTTGCAGAGCCCTTGGTTTGCCCGCAGGAGCTGGGGAGGGCATTGCACCCTTATGGGCTGGAAGGGGCACAAATGAAGAGGTGGCTCCTGGCACAGGGACATTTGTGGCCCAGTTCCCTAAATAAAGGGATATTTAGGGAATAGGATCTCCCCCTCTGCATGACCAGCCCTCCTCTCATCCTCCCGGTGCTTTAAATCGTTTAATATCAAACTCACAAAGAGGGGCAGGGCTGACACCGGCTAAAGCTATCCTTAAACACCGATTATTGCCCCCAATTTAGGAACAACACGAACAGTCCCAGAGGTCCCTCAGCCGCACCAGCACCAAGTCCCCGTGCTGTGCGCTGCTCCTGCCATCGCACCTGGCCCTGAAAGCGCCCGGAGGGGCCGCTCCGGCCGCAGGATCCCGCTGGGATTCGCAGCCCCGCTCCAGGCTCGGCTCCCGGGAACAGCGCGGGGGTTTTGGGAGCGGGAACAGCGAGATTTGGAGAGGAGGTGGCAGAGCTGGAAGGGAGCTGCTGTTGCCTCGCTGCTTCCCGCAGCCTCCGGGCTGGTTCTGCACACCCAGCCCGGCCCCCGCGGCCCCCCGGCCCTCAGCGGGCGGTGGCGAAGCCGATGCGGTTGTGGCGCCGGTCGAATTTGGTGTAGTAGTGACCGATGAAGGTGGCGCCCAGGATCCAGAGGGGACCGGCCGGAGGGGGGATGTCCAGCCCGGAGAAAGCCACCACGCACACGTCCTCGCCGTACTGGGATTGCTGCGGGAAGGGGACCCGCGGGGTGATGGAGGGGACACGGGGAGGGTCCCGGTGTCACCCCCTGCTCACCCGTGGTGTTCCTTGCTCGGGGATCATGGAATATCCTGAACGAGGATCATCGGGGCCGGCTCCTTCCCCTGCACAGCCAGCCCCAAAAATCCCCAAAAATCCCTCCCTGTGCCTGGGGGTGACCTCCCTGCGCTGCTTTGGGTTTGGCAAAGCCCCCCGGAGGTGCTGGGATTGCTGCAGGGGTGATGGAGGCGACAGGGGGAGGGTCCCGGTTTCGCCGTGCCCCAGCTCCACACCCCCTGGTGCTGCTGCTTCCTCGGGGATCATGGAATATCCTGAACGAGGATCATCAGGACCGGCTCCTTCCCCTGCACATCCAGCTCCAAAAATCCCCAAAAATCCCACCCTGTGCCTGGGGGTGACCTCCCTGCGCTGCTTTGGGTTTGGCAAAGCCCCAAAGAGGTGCTGAGCGCTGTGGAGAGGATCCCACCGGGGCAGCAGCGGCAGGAGCAGCCGCAGGAGCCCCTGCAGGACTGGTTTGGTCAGGGTGGGATGGTGCCCGTGCCAAGGGCTGGGCAGCAGCTCTGGGGCAGGACCGAGCCACGGCAGGGCTCCCATGGCAGGGGGTGGCCCTTGGCACGGGGGTGGCACCACCTTCCCACGGGAGCTCCAGGTGAGCTGGAGCTGGGGAGCAGCCGCAGCCTCAGCCTCCTGCTGGTGGGTCCCTGCTGCCCCAATTGCCCAGATTTAGGTTTGGTTTAGGCTGGGCTCTGTCCTGGATCAGCTCCTCAGAGTGTGGGCAGACACAAACAATGGAGATCTGCAGCTCCACTCGTGCTGACCGCAGGGAAAATGTGGATTTGCCCACTGTGAACTCTTGGTGGCCACTTCCCACTGTTCTGGGGTGAAAAACCTTTCCTGACATCCAAATCCCTGCAAAACCCATCCCTGCTGACCCCAAATCCCCCCCAGGCCACCCAAGGACGCAGGGACAGCTCACCCTGGCTCAGGTGGGCACCTCCACCCACCAGGAGGGTTTAGGGCGAGCAAGGAGCATCATTTTGGGGCTGATTGGGGCTGATTTTGGACACTCACCCGCAGCACGTAGGCCGGGCCGCTGAGGCCATAGACCTTCCCTCCCAGGTGGAAGGAGATGTTGGGCAGCTGAGGCACCTGCTCGCAGTCCACCACGTACTGCAGGGGAGGGGACAGCGCTGGGACAGGGCCGGGCAGCCAGGGGGACACGGGCAGGGGCTGGCTGTCACTCACCTCTCCTTCGGCCACCTCGGTGGCCCCGATGGCTTTCATGAGCACGGACACGGGGCCGGCGGGGCCGGTGATGTAGGAGGCCCCAGTGTCCACAGCCACTGAGCAGCCTTCCCTGCAGAACAGGATCTCAGCCCCTACAGACACCCTGGAGAGGGAGAGGTGGCCCTGAGTGTCCCCTGGTGACACCCAGCATGCTCCTGGGAGTGTCACATCCATCCCAAATGTCCCCTGGTGACACCCAGCGTGCTCCTGGGAGTGTCACATCCATCCCAAATGTCCCCTGGTGAGACCAAGGGTGCTCCCGGGAGTGACATGTCCATCCTGAGTGTTCCCTGGTGACACCAGGAGTGTCACTTCCATCCCAAATCTCCCGTGGTGACACCAAGGATGTTCCTGGAAGTGTCACTTCCATCCCAAATGTGCCCTGGTGACACTAAGGGTGCACCTGGGAGTGTCACTTCCATCCCAAATCTCCCATGGTGACACCCTGGGAGTGACACATCCAACCCAAACAGCCCTGGTGACACTCCTGATGCTCCTGGGAGTGTCACACCCATCCTGAGTGTCCCCTGGTGACACCAATAATGTCACACCCATCCTGAGTGTC